CGCGTGCCCTGCGTGCCGGCACCAAGGAAAGCCGAGCCGGGCCGAGGGTGGGCAAACTTGGGGGAGAACTGCATCTGCTGCGGGGTGAGGGACAGGCGGACGGGTCTCCTGCCGGCAGCGGGGCTTCCCGAGACAGCCTCACCAGCAGGACCGGCCTTCGCCCAGCTCCCGTAGCTGGGCTGGTGCCGGCAGCGCTCGCTGTGGAGCGAGAGCCTGGGATGGGGCCTGGGCAGACCTTGCTGCCCGGATCTGTGGAGCGCTCCCTTGGGAGCCTCGTGTAGGAGAGGCCGAGAAGCGCTCGCTGGCCAAGTCTCTTGCAGGCTTCCTGCCTGGAAAACAGCTCGAGAGGACGAATGAACTGCCTGGGCTTTGTTTTTTTTCCTTGACCCAAATCTTCCAGCGTCCATGAAGTCCTGTCTTGGTGTAGGAAGAGGCAGCAATTTTATGCTCTGATTTTAAAGCTCTTGCAGAGCAGTCGCTCGCATGCCGAGCTCTCTAAGCGGGCACGTGGCCAGTGTAGGTGAGCTGGTATGCTGCGGGAGGAGGAGATGGGAGCAGAGCTGTCTGTGCTTTCCCTAGGTGAACAGCGAGTCCAAAGCCAACATCACCTGTCTCGTCTACAGCCACGACGGCTCGGGTGAGTGACTGACTGACCCACAGCGGGGCTGATGGACGAGCCGCGGGTGGCCCGGGCTGCGGCATTGCGGGACAGAGCCATCCTGGCCGGGGGAGGCACCGGGGCCGGGGGGGCGCTGGAGGCACTGCCGGGCACCCGGGGGGCTTGCAGCACACCCACCCCTAGCAGAGAGACCACCTGCGCCACGTGCTCCCTGCTGACGCCTGTCTCTTCCGTCCTATGCCAGAGCTGTTGGCTAGCTACAACGATGAAGACATTTATCTCTTCAACTCCTCTCACAGTGACGGAGCGGAGTACATCAAGAGATACAAGGGACATCGCAATAATGCCACTGGTAAGGACTGGCTGAGATGGGTGTTGGGGCAGACCACCCCCCGGCAGGCTGCATCCCCCGCTGTGGGGGGCTCAGAGGCTCTCCCCAGGTCGCTGTCAAACTCCCACCGCATCCCATTCCCTGGCAGCCAGCGGGTCCAAACTCGCTCCGGCTTCCCCCTCCTCGTGCCTGCAACCAGGCTTTGGGGCAGTCTGGAGGTGGGGGGCCGTCCCCAGAGCAACCCGGAAGAATAATTGCCTGCTTTTAGCTTATTTCTGCAGCTCCCTGTGTTTCATCTTCCTCTCAAAGACCCTTAACACAAACTCTCGGGCTTGCAAAGAATGAGCTATTATGTGTCTGGGGACGGAAGAGATCCACGCTGGTAACCCTGGAAACTCGCTGGCTGCCAGGCAGGAAGCGAATTCATGGCAGGGAGCGCTGCCCGGCTCCTGATGGCCTCGGGCTGCTTGTTTCTCTCCTTTCAGTGAAAGGCGTCAATTTTTATGGCCCGAAAAGTGAGTTTGTGGTGAGC